CTGGGGGCTGGTTGGGAGTGAGCTGGATCCCTGGGCCCAGCCCTGCTCATGGCCAATGGAGAAACTTGTTATCTGCAGGCTCGTGCAGCCTTCTCCTGCCTGTAGAGCAGCCGTGCTCTCCCGTTGGGCTCCCTGCTCCAATGGAAAGGAGGCCACGTGCTAAACCCGGTAGACCAGGGAGCCTCCCCCATGACCCTGGTCTCAGTTCCGCTGGGGCTCTGGGGGGTGAGGGCACCGCTCACCCCACCAGGTGTTAGAAGTTGTGTTCACACTGGGCTGCCCCATAGCTGCCTGGATGGGACTGAGAAGCTGAGGGGCCGTTCCGGCCGGCGAATGTGCTGAGGGGCAGCCCAGGGTTAGGGCACAGGCCGCAGGGCTGAGCCATGCCATGTACAGGGCTAGTTTCAGGAGGGTTTGCGCTTGTCACAGTTCTGGCGTTTCCCCTGGCACTGAGGGCGTGCGCGGACAGGGAATCACAGCCCCAGCTCGTAGTGTGGCCGTCGCCAGAGAGATGGGCCCAACGGAGGATATGGGAGCCTTGGGGTATGGGGGGCTGGGCGCCTGCTCTGCCTTTCTGCAGCCAGGAGGCTGAAAACCCTTTGCACGAGTCCAAGGAGCCAGAATGAGGAGGGTCCCTGGGGATGGGGCCGGGCAGCAACTGGTGCCTTGCGGAGGTGCCACAATGCAAGAGAACAGGGGACCAAACAAGGCGGCTGGGAGCCGGTGGAAGGGCCGGGCAGCGCAGCGCAGGCAGGGGCGAGCATGGGGCCTGCGAGGCGGCTGGGCAGTGAAATCTGGCCAGCTTGGTTAGGAGAGGGCTTGGGGGCTGTGGCACAGCCTGCCAGTGTGTGAGGGGGGCTCATGTCGGGCGATGGCAGCTCCTCAGGCAGGTGCCTCAGGGCAGGACCAGCCTCACAGGCCAGGGACATGCCGGCCTAGCGGGAGACACCGCACGATGGCGGCTGGGCGATGGAGAATGGGGAACAGGGGGGGAAGTGGGGCCAGGTGACCTTTTCCCTGTGGAGCTGCAGTCCACACAAGGAGCTTGAGCCTCACTGGTGGAGGGCCCATGGGGCAACAGCCAGGATCCATGGGGAAAACGTCCTCGGGGTTGGCAGTGAGCTGGCCCATGTGTGGGGCAGCCTCCCCAGGGATGGGATGGGGGCCCACTACTTGGGACTTAAACCGGGGCAAGGCAGAGGCCTGGGGATCTCCCTGCAGGGCCTGGCTGGCTAAGGCAGGGAGGGCAGCAAACTGGATGCCCAGGGGTGGCTGCCATCTCGAGTCCCTTGCAGAAGTGAGCCAGGGGCCTGTGCTGTGAGAAACACGGACGGTTCCCCTGTCCTGGAGCTCTCTAAATATGGAGCGAGCCTGTGTGTCCAGCCCAGCCCCAGGCAGCGTCTGGTGCTCCCAGCCCTGATTGATGTACTTCTCAGGCTCCCAAACAGCAGCTGCTTCCGCCCCAGCTCCCAGGGTCTGGGGAGAGGACAGGCGATTTTCCCAGGGATAAAAATAGGTAGTGGCAGAGGGGAGAGTCCTGGGAGAGTCCCTGTGCCTGGGTGGCACAGAGGTCCCTCCCCACACGGGCGGGGAATATCTGCATGAGAAGGGAGGCTGGCGGGCAGAGGGCTCTGAGAACGGGGCTCTGTCCCTGGCTGGAGTAGCCAGGCCAGCCGTCATCACTGCAGGGAGGCGCCCCAGCTCGCAGACACCGGCAGGCAGCGTGGCCCCAGGCGCTGGGGGCAGGCAGGACTGCAGGGCGCCGGGTGTTTCTGTGATGGGGAGGAGGCAGGGCATGGCTCCTTCTGCCCCGGGGCTGCTCCAAAGCGTGTGGCCAGCGCTCTGAAGCCAAAGGAGGCAGAACCCACCCCCAGCCTGGAAGGAGCAGCCCAGCGCCAGCTACTGGGCACACAGCAGCCTCTGACGGGCAGAGAGCCCTTGTCTGCTCTGGCCCAGGGCAGCCACCAGGCCCTCACGCTTGGGGTTGTGTGAGGGGTTCTCCAGAGCATGAGCGGGTGGGCGAGCTGCTGGCTGTGGAGATCTCCTGCCCCATTGCTGGGGCCAGCCGGATTGCCCAGAGCCCTAGCGATGCCAGGCTGTGCTAAGGGATGTGCGGGGCCTGGGCCATGCTACGGGGGTGCGGCGAGAATGGCCCATTTGTCAGCAGAGCAGAAATCCCGCTCAGGAGCCCTTTAACCAGCTTAGGGCAGGATAGAGGGAATTAACGCCTCATGAATTGGGCTTTGTGTCTGAGTCCCTCTGAGCCAGAGGCAGGGATAGGGTGGGCTTGGCCGGGCGGCAGCCTGTGCCCTGCAGCACGGGGGAGCATGGCAAAGCGCTGGGTGTAGGCGCTGGGCGTGGGAGGGTGCAGGGAGGAGTCACTGTCTGCCTGGTTCACCGTGAGCTGGGGATCGCAGCTGTTAATCATTAACGGCCCCGGGGAGGTAGCAGCTCCCTGTTCCGCTGGAATCTGTAAACAAGGGGGAAGCAATGCTGCGGGTGCTCCTTGCTCACTTCTTGCCCTGGTAAACCTCTGCCCGGAAGGGGACAGGGTGAGAGGGGCGACTCCCCGCCAGAGAAAGTGGAGAGCTGCAGGCCGAGCTCCCGGAGCCTGGACAGGCCCTGCCGGTGCAATGGAACGCGTGGCTCAGACCTGGCGCCTGGGCACCCGGACGAGGCTTCGAGCACAGAGGTCGCTGGCTGCGCAGTCACCTGCTGGGCCCCGCACCTGCACAGCATGACCCCGCTGCCCAGTGTCTGGGCCATGCTCATCCCCCTGCCGGCCGGGGGCTGGCGCTGGTGGGGCTCTGCAGAGCTCAGCGCTAGACCCAACGCTGTCCAGCGTTGGCACCGGAGAGCCGGAGGTAAATGCCAACTGGCTGCTGACATGCAGGTTGGTGGGCTGGTAAAATAGCCATGAGGCCAGGGCAGTTACACAGAGCTATCTGGATCACTTCGTAGGCTGGGCCTAGTCAGACAAAATACACCCACAGGCAAGGGCAGACATCTGGGAACGAGGCTTCACATCCTTGCCTACGGACGGTGGGGCTGGACTCTGGAAAGCGTTCTGGGGTCGCCGTGAACTGCAATTGAGTCTGAGCTCCCTGTGCGACCCTGGGGTGCATAAACGGGAGTAGGAGCAGGGAAGGGGTGCAGCCTCGGTAAAACCCATCTCAGATACTGCATCCAGATCTGGGGTCTGCTTTTTAAAAAGGCCATTGAAAGCTTGGAGGGGGTGCAGAAAAGAGCCCCAGAAATGCCCTGTCAGGGTTGGTCTAGGTTTGCTTGATCCTGCCTCAGCGCAGGGGTCTGGCCTTGATGGTCTCTCGAGGTCCCTTCCAGCCTGACACGTCTATGACTTAAGATGCTTTAGCCAAACACAAGTTCTCGGGCTCAGTACAGGGGGAGCTGGGGGAGATGTAATGGCCTGTGAAATACGGGAGGTCAGACCAGATGATCCAATTGTCCCTTCTGGCCTGAAACTCTGGATCTGAACAAGCCCCCAGCAGCAGTTGGGAGCTAGGCAGGCACAGATGGTGCTGTGGGGTCACCTAGCCCCATGCAGAGCATGGCGCAGAGCCCAGCCTGCAGGCGAGGGAGGCCCGGATCCTGGGTGAGGAGGGTTGTGATCCGGGGCTCCAGGAGTAGCCATGTTCCCTTGCCGAGAGGAGCAGTCACGCCGCCCATCCACATGGACATGCCAGGAGGGGGAAGCAGGCTCTGCCTGAACAAGGAGATGTAGTGCAGAGCCTCACCGGGACGTCCCGCTCCCCCAGCCATCGTGAACAGGACAAGTGTTGGAGCTGATCCCTGAGGGAGGGAAGCCACCCAGGCCAGCCCTACATGCCCCAAGAAGTGACCAGGTGCACAGTGGGCCCGGCCACTGGGTGGCTGGCTTTCCGAGCAGCCAAGCCCAAGCCAGCCAGGGCTGCTGGGGGTGCGTGCTCTGGGGTGGGGCTGGGGATGAGGGTTTGGGGTGTAGGAGGGCAC